CACCTCCCCTCACCCCGCCTCCTTTCCGTTCCCCACCCCCAAACCCTCTCACCCGCGGCAGTCCGGTGCGAGGCCCCTCCGGAAGGTGAGGGGAATGGATTGGACTCCGGTGGGGAAAGCGGGTGTCTAGAAGTGGTGCTAATGGGAAGAGAATTCTGGTTTCAAAAGAGGATGCTCTGCCACAAAGAGCGGCTCGCGCGCTGGCCTGGGCTCTAGCCGAGGAGAGATCCCGGGAGAACTCCAGAGCTCCGGGGGAGCGCTCCTCGGAAGACTGGGGCCAACATGCCTGTGCGCAGGGGGCATGTGGCACCACAAAATACATTTCTGGGGACCATCATTCGGAAATTTGAAGGGCAAAGTAAGTTCATTTGTTCTCTTCTCTCGCCCTCGCTTTCTGCCTTGATAGTGCGCTTGGCGTCCACCGCTTCCAAGCTGGGGAGACCGGCAACTCCAGGCTCTGTCAAGTTAAGAGGCTATGAAACCGAGCCAGGAGGTTCGAGCGGCAGCGGGAGTGTTATTCTTCTGATATTAATTTTGATTTACATTTTAGATTACGGTCTCCATTATAGGAGGCAATTTGATCCTCCTCTACCACTGCTCCATTATCTGCCTTGCTACTTAATGTCCTACTATTCTACTATCTTAAAGGGAACGTGCTAGGATAACATGGGTTTATATTTTGAGGTTGTTTTACTGTAGACTTTTTGAAAGTCGGAAGCAGAGCAGACCACACTATTCGAACAAGAGAATGTAAACGGTAGTAGCGATGTAAACGGCTATGCAAACTATATTTTACCTTGGTTAAACTGCAAGGCAGTGGTATGACAGGGATACTTGCTTGCTATTAGTTTATAGAAGCTAAATGTTGTATTGAATCAATGCAAATATATCCTAAGCAGGATAATTTGGAAAAGCAGTATCTAATCTCTGCTGGTTTCCGATGCAAATGGCTCACTATTCAAAATAATATTTCTATTCTTTTATTATCTCCTTAACATTTCCATCTAGAAATTTAAAAATTGAAGTGTAATAAGTAAATCCCACAAAGACTGAATGAACAGAAATTTAATGTTCTCATGTGGACTAAATATAGGGAATACATTTTTGCTATATAAGTATATTAATTTAAAATCCTATATTTGTTAACTTATCTTCAACCTTTTCTTAAAACTATATTAATACATTTGTATGCCATATATTTTGCGGTTATTTCAACACTGCATTTAGTGACGTGAGGATCTGGTACCTTGCGTACAAAATAAACTTGTATATCCTGCTTCACAACGTATTTGGAAATAGTAAATACAATCTGTGATATAAATTAATAAGCTCTTTGTATTAAAAATTCCTGCTACTACACAAAACATCAAGGATCTCCCAAAGTAAAAGTAAAAAGTGTCATCATGATATTCACTGAGTGTGTGTAAATATTTTTCTTTTGGAAAATATATATTATGAAAAGTTGAACCTTTGCCTTGTTGAATTGCTATTAAATATGAAGTAGTTTCATTACTAAAACTAGTTGCCTTTGTTTTTAACATGATGTATGTAACATGCCTAAGAGAGATAGAGAGAAACCAAAGAATAATAACTACTTTGAGAAAGTTGTATTCAAAGGGCCAAAGTTGAAATGAGAAATCTTACAACTACAGAATGTTTCACTGTTTGACTTTGAAAATATTTACATTACAATTAAATGACATTCTGAAAATATCAATGGGCAGCTGCTTGTCTGAGGGCCCACTAGGATCCCCAGCAGTTGCAGGGCTTGAGAGCTAGACTATTTGGGAAATTCTATTCTTGCAATTTGAAGAGTGGTTTCTTAATACTTTCTGTTAAAATTACTTAGGATCATTAATCTCACATTTAAAGTTTGTGGGGTTTCTTGTGTTTTCTTTTTTCATAAAGTATAGAGAAATTAATAATTTGGGGAAGCACCTGCATTTCAGAGCTCTTATTATGCAACAAATTGCTTCAGTGTTACGGAGAATATTGTGGAAGCTTTTTCAATGATGCCATACTATCTTCTTATTACAGATAAAAAATTTATCATTGCAAATGCCAGAGTGCAGAACTGTGCCATCATTTATTGCAACGATGGGTTCTGTGAGATGACTGGCTTCTCCAGGCCAGATGTCATGCAAAAGCCATGCACCTGCGACTTTCTCCATGGACCCGAGACCAAGAGGCATGATATTGCCCAAATTGCCCAGGCATTGCTGGGATCAGAAGAGAGGAAAGTGGAGGTCACCTACTATCACAAAAATGGTAAAATTTAACTATTTAGTATTCCTTCTATTTTATCCCATTGAAAAGAAATTTTGACTGTTAAAAGTTCATATACAAAGAAGCCCAAAATGTTCAGTTGTAGATATATGCTTTCCTTATAGTATTTTGAGATCCAACATGTATGGGTATTCTGATTAGTGATCTGGGAGAAACAATTTTTTCTTTGAATAAGAGTACTGTGATCTCTTCAAAAGTACAGTAATATAATGTCACTCAGGTTAAAAATGCTACAAATGAGTCTTAGATGCTTCTTTCTTTAGGAATTATAGAAAGATCAACAATTTACTGCTGCGTTGGTATGCATTTGGTAGGTGAGAAATACAGATACAGTGTTATTTGTTTGAACTTTAAAATACTCTACAAAGCAAGTTTATGTTGAAAACTATATCAAAAACTAAAACTATTACAGTTATGTCTCTTGGCTCTTTAGCTTTAGTTGATAGGCAACACCTCTTGTTTCTTTTCCTCCTTCTTATACAAGATTAAGGATGATAAATAGGTACTTATACATTGATCCAGTTAACCTGTGTATATTCAAACAATAAAGGCTGTTTATGTAGTCAAGATTAGTCCTAAACTAAGAAATGTAGAAAAAAATTTTGATACTGTGGAGTTATTAGTATTGATTTTTATAACTACAGCAAAACTGGGATCTTAAACTTAAGGTCATACCTCAACTTCAAGGGCAACACCTCCTTCTGTCAAACTTGCTATGAGAACAATAAGAGTTAGATATAATAGTTCTTTTAAAAAACTACACATGTAATAGATAGGCATGCCTTAAATACACAATATATATGTAAATGAACTCACATATATGAATACCCAGATATGCCCATTTTAAGGTGTGTGTATATATATACACACACACACACACGTACATATATATATTCCTGAATATCTATATATCTATATCTATAATGATATTTGACAATTTGGGGCTTAAAGGTAAAATTATTTTTAAAACTTGAATGTTATAGTTAATTTTGTGGATATTTCATCATCATCTATTTCTTTTTATTCCACTAACAGAAATTACTGAGGCAGAGAGGTAGCTGTTCAGATTTTTAGAAAACTCTTCAGATTTTGATAAATATGTAATGTGCCATGGCCTATATCATATAATGACTCATCATTTGGTAAACTAGACAGAAAAAAAGACAGCAGGGAAAAGGTTTCACTCTTACTCTTATTTTCTTATAATTCAATGTACAATGTACAATTCTTAATTATTACATTTTCCTTAACATGAACTTCAGTGGTTACAAAACATTACTAAAAACAAGTTTGTATAACTTTGTAGTAATCTGGAATGAAAGCAATTGTATAGTTATCAAACAGACAGAAATTGTTTTTAAAGTTCTTCCCATGTTTCTCGTACTTTTCAATCAGTAATGTTGGCATACTAGAAATAGCCTAATTGTTCTGTTGTCTTGAAAACATTTATTGGATTGAGCTCTCACTACCCAAATGTAACTCATGTCTTTCGAGTATCTGATGCCAACAATCTGGACTTTTGGAATAATTTGAATGTCTGACATTTTTTCCTATTGAATATTTATTATGATGCCAACACAGTCTATATTGTGGTAACTTCAGTGAATGTTGGTCCATCTTTGGTCATTATGTTTTCTAGACCATTTCAGGGTTTTCTCCAACTCCTAGAATTTAAGTATGACATTAATCTGGACAGTCTAAATTGCTCAGATACCAGGTATATCTTTCAGAGTGTTTTCAAGTAGAAGTTATCTATTATAGCACAAGTGGCATGATGATGTTTTGAAAGTTGTGAGATGTGGGTGTGTAAAATGATCTCAAAACACTGTAAAACAGCAATTTAATAAGAATCACAAATATGATTAATTCCTATTAAATTATTGAATTTTCTGTGTTGAACATATTGACAAATACAAATCTTTCTATTTGAATGATTCTCTTGGTTATATGCATTAAAACTCCCTTGTTTTCAGAAAAGGACTTTTGATTTGGAGGGTTGTTTAGGTATAAAAAAATTAACCTTTGGTAAAACATTTGATTCTGTTGACTTCCTTTTCAGGTGTAACTCAGTCTTCAAGGATTTGAATATCTTTAGCATTAACTATAAAATCTACCTATTTTGCTTTGATTGATATGGAAAACACGAGATAATGGACCAAGCATTTTCTTTTTATTTAATATTTTAAGAAAAATATTAATTTGAATGACCTTTTTAGATAGTGATGACACAGTTGTAGTTGTTTGCTTTGAATATAATAAACTTGTGTTTTGGCTGCTAGTTCAGATACCTTGAATAGAATCTTCAGTGTGTCTTGGTTTTGTATTTATGACAACTACAAAATTAGTTAGAGCTTATGAGATACAAATTCTTGGACAGTCTCATCTCTTAGAGATAAGACTACTGCCAGGTTCTCTACATTTATAAAACCGGGAAGGGGGAAAATCACCAACATATTTGTTGGTTTGTTTCTCAAAGTTTCCTTAATTCTTTATTATTGATGCCATTGACTTTTGAGTTTCTTGATTTCTTAACTGTATACAGTAAATGCTTCTTTTACTTATTCTTTATTTAGCATTTCACAAGTATATGAAGAGTGATGTAATAAGCCCAATGAACAAATTAACAGAAAGTTTATATATTCTGTTTCCATTTCTTCCATTTGCTCTTACTGGAGGAGTAAAAATACGACCGAGGCATTATTTTGGAAAGCTTGTTCGCTAAAGTGGCCCAGAGGCTTTATAAGCAATTTAAACCCGTGATCTATGTAATGAGTTCACATTGATGCGGTTCATGGTGAACTACATGATCATCATTTTGCAACACCATTTCCTACTATGCTTTTGTATGTGATTGTGCTAGGTACAATTAAACTTGCTGTTTATCAGAATATCAATTTTTAAAAACCTAGTTATTTGCAGTAGGAATATTTGACAGCTCTTCCTTTGAGGATTCTATTTTACAGTTTAAGTCATTATTGCATAAATCATCCTTGGCAGCTGTGAAGTATTGCTTGAGGTGATAAAGCTGTAAATCTTTTGACATAAAACTCTAATTATACAAAACTATAATTATGCTATGACTTATATAAGGATGGGCATGTATTTTAATAGCATAATACATTCATTTAAAAACACTTTTCAGCAACAAAGATTAAAAAATAGCAAAGACTTCAGTTATTAACTAGTTCATAGTTTTAGATGATGCGAATGGAAAGGAAACAGAAAAAAAATAGTTTAGTTAGGCCCCACAACTAAGTTTATCCCTCATCTGGTTTGGAGTATGTCATGGAATAGAGCTAGCTAGTTTAAGTGCTAAACCCCTTCAGGCATATTTAGAAATGTGACTTTGACCTTAAATTATCAAGCAACTTTAAGTATTTGAAAAAACAAAGTATATTTCTCCAGGAGAAATAAACGTCTTTACTCAGTAAGACAGTAGGACTTAAAATATATTATTTTTTGAAGTCAGAGCATTCTTGTATTTTTGCCATTATGCTTTCATACACGCTACAGTAGCAATTTTGCTAACAAATCAGAAATATATAGTGCTACTTTTCTTATCTTCACACTGCTTTTAAAGAACTGAAGAAGGATAAGGGACTGAGAGAAGTCCTTGCCTAATCCAGTCACATATCAGTACAAAGTTTCAGAGGTAGAGTTTGATTAAACTCAGAAGAGGTCTTGGTTTGACAACACTGAATTTACTATGTCTGAAAATTATGAGGAAAGACCTTCTAGAAACAGCTCTCTTTTGTGAATCAAGGTGAAGATGTATACTGAGTGCCTCCTCTCTCTCACATAACGTACCAGGCACTATAAGTACAGTAGGAAGAGATACAAAGGAAGATGCAACCTGATCTCTGCTTGCAGGACATTTGTATTACAGAGTGACTAATGTTCATTTCCATCTTCTAAATCTCAGCTGTTTGTATAAAATTATTTTTAATGGAAAAAGAGTATTTGGACTATGGGGTTGTTAATTGCATAGAGAACCTGCAAAATTTATTATTAATTGCTATTTTCCTTCTATTCCCCAAATTTAAAATAAACGTGCTTATGTGTATCTTTTTTCACCATTGTCATGTATACATAATAATGTATTAAAGAAGCAATGAAGTTTAGTTAAAATTTTATTAGTACAAACAGAAATTTCACAAAATTTCATAATAGCTTTATATAAGTTATATGGCATATAAAACATTCAGCTCTCTTAATTCTTGGATTGTGTAGAAGACATACAGATGGTAGTTTTTTAGACAAGAACAAAAATATATTTTGTGTGTGTGTAATTCAAGCAATGAGAAAGATTTTCAGAGCGTATCTTGCCTAGAGTTTGCTTGGGTGTTCATTTTAACTTTCTGTTTATACATTTTTATATTCTATTCAGTAGACTACTGCAACAACAGTAATCCTAAAATTCGTTTTCCCTTATGTGCATAAATTTTATATCGTCTCACCGACTTTGCATATTATCCAGAATTCAGATTTGATCAGGTGTAATTGTTGATAAAATAGGCATTCGCAAGGAATGCTCTTCCCCATAATTTGAAAACTATTTCAGTATTGTACTAAGTGAAACCAAATGCCCTAAAACTGTGGCTGAGCTCTGTTTATCAGTTACTTTTCACCATTCACCAACATCATACCTCTAAGAAATTCTGGTGACAAGAAGCCATGTTGTCAGCCAGCTCGAGGGAGAACTTCTTAGTTATTTTCACACCCAAGGGGCTTGAGAACAGGTCGGTTTAGGACTGAAGGAATAGGATAAGTTTAACAGGAGGAACTCGTTTCTACTGGCTTCCAAAGGTTTTTGGTTTGTTGGTTGGTTGGTTGGTTGGTTGGTTGGTTGTTTTGGTTTTGTTGCTCTTGTTGTTTGGTATAAATAATCTCTGAATCCATTGCTGGCAATCTAGCCTGCCAGGAGAGTGCCTGCTTAGTTGAGCCACAGGGAAGTAACAGTTGGGGTATGAAGTTTTGAGGTG